GTCTGGTTTGAAAGTCTGTATTCTTCAGTAACTAATCATAGTATATTGCCTCTCTGTGCAGGTAGAAGGAAAAGGAGAGAGATACTCCTGCTTACGTTCCTTTTCTGACTTTGCTGCAGTAGGACTGTTTCTAGGTGAAAGTCTGCTCGAGGAGTTGTGGGTAGGCTCATTAGCTGAATTGGTTTTTCCTGCATTTTTGACTTCGGACCTGCGGTCTCTGTTGGAAGGCTTTTTGTAAGTTAGTGGTTTTGGATATTGGTAACGTTTTTGCTTTATCTGCTGAATACCATGTATTATATGTGGAAAGTACAATCTTCTGAAGTTAAAACTAGCTCTTCTAAATTTCAGATGAAGTTAAACTGTCAATATGATAATTGCATAACAACATACGGAGCTTTTAGTGAGAATTATGGGTGGTCATAAAAGTGTTTCAGTTTTGAAAGCATTGACTTTTGTGAGCTAGATTCATCAAATCCTGAGATAACTAGAATTGATGTAGAAAATTAATTCCTTTAAAAATATAAAGGCCCAAGTGTCTGTTGCTGGAGTTCAGGCTGAAATACAAACTTAAGGATGAGAAGGTAAAAATTCAAATTAATAGAAATAAAATGGATCTTAATTTTTTGCTTTTAAAGATATCACTTATGGCCAGGCGCAGTGGCTTACGCCTGTAATCCCAGCACTTTGGGAGGCCAAGGTGGGCGGATCACGAGGTCAAGAGATTGAGACCATCCTGAAACTCCATCTCTACGAAAAATACAGAAATTAACTGGGCGTGGTGGCGCCCGCCTGTAGTCCCAGCTACTTGGGAGGCTGAGGCAGGAGAATTGCTTGAACCTAGGAGGCAGAGGTTGCAGTGAGCTGAGATCACGGCACTGTAGCCTGGCACCTGGCAACAGAGTGAGACTGTCTCAAAAAAAAAAAAATCACTTACTAAAATTATATCTATTTTGAAATTGTTAGGACTTAGTTCACTAGAAAGTCATTTTCCATGTTTATTGTTTTTCCTTGGGGAAGTAACTTTTTTTTTTTTTAAGACGGAGTTTCACTCTTGTTACCCAGGCTGGAGTACAATGGCGCGATCTCGCTCACTGCAACCTCTGCCTCCTGGGTTCAGGCGATTCTCCGGCCTCAGCGTCCTGAGAAGCTGGGATTACAGGCACGCGCCACCGTGCCCAGCTAATGTTTTGTATTTTTTGTAGAGACGGGGTTTCACCATGTTGACCAGGGTGGTCTCGATCTCTTGACCTCGTGATCCACCCACCTCGGCCTCCCAAAGTGCTGGTATTACAGGCTTGAGCCACCGCGCCCGGCCAGTAGGAAGACTTCTAAAACTCATTACTTTTTCTTCAGATAAACTATTATTTTAAATGTGATTCTTTTTTTTTTTTTTTTTTTTTGAGACGGAGTTTCACTCTTGTTACCCAGGCTGGAGTGCAATGGCGCGATCTCGGGTCACTGCAACCTCAGCCTCCTGGGTTCAGGCAATTCTCCTGCCTCAGCCTCCTGAGTAGCTGGGATTACAGGCACGCGCCACCATGCCCAGCTAATTTTTTTGTATTTTTGGTAGAGACGGGGTTTCACCATGTTGACCAGGATGGTGTCGATCTCTTGACCTCGTGATCCACCCACCTCAGCCTCCCAAAGTGCTGGGATTACAGGCTTGAGCCGCCGTGCCCGGCCTAAATGTGATTCTTAAATTTCTTTTTTTTTTTTTTTGAGGTAAGATTTCACTCTGTCACCCAAGCTGTAGTGCGGTGGTGCTGTCATTGCTCGCTGCAGCCTTGAACTCTTGGGCTCAGGTGATCGTCATCCTCCCACCTCAGCCTCCCAAGTACTAGGGCTATAGGCACGCACTACAGCATCCAGCTAATTAAATTTTTTTTTTTTTTTTTTTTTTTTTTTTTTTGTAGAGACAGGGTCTCATTGTGTTGCCCAGGCCAGGCTGGGTCTTGAACTCCTGACCCCAAACTGTCCTACTGCCTTGGCCTCCCAAAGTGCTGGATTACAGGTGTGAGTTCCTGCATCTGGCTGACTCTCTAATTCTTGAATTTCCTGAGTAAAAAAAATGCAAATATGCTAGATTTAATAATAAAACAATATGTATTGATAACTTGGCATGTTATATTTTGGAAAGATGAGCAAATAAGTTCATTTTACTGTTCAGATTATGACAGTATTTCTAACTTTGGTAATCTTTGATATAACTGTAATTAGCTTTTTGTTACAAGAGAGTGTTTCTCCTCTCCCCCACCCCTATTTTTTTTTGCTGGAATTAAAAAGCAAAATATATTGTGTTTTTGTTTTTTTTTTTGCATTTTGACATCTTTACTACTGTTGCATTTCTTTGAAAACTTGGTGTTATCTTCGTAGTTTTAACATTTGAATACTGAAGATTGTATTGCCTGATCTTATTTAATGATCACGTTAGTTTATTCCCTTTAAATCAGTATTTAAGTCAATGGCATCTATTACATTTGAGTGCTGAATCATTGTAGCTGTCACATGTCTTTGCTCTTGGGAAGTTCCCCACTGGGTTTGTAGTAGAAACAGAAAAAATCCATCTGCTTTTTCTTTCACCTCAGTTTTCTATCCACCATTTCATCCCCTATAAAATAATTCTTCTCTGGTTAGTCACCTTTTTCTCTTTAAGTTGATAGAGATGTAAACTTTTGGTGCCATACTGTCAGAATCGGAACACTGCCTGGTACATCTGTGTGTCCTAGGAAAAGGGGATGGGAGTGTTAGAGCTCTCCTAAATTGGTCAAGTATACTCCAACTTTATTCTAGGATAGCTTTCAAGACTACGGAATTGAATTCCCTTAGTAGGGAATCAAGTGTTAAAGTGTATTCTAGGGACAGAGAGCTGACAGAGAAGTAGTCAGGGTGCATTATAAGAAGTGGAGGAGGCTGGTGGCTCACGCCTGTAATCCCAGCACTTTGGGAGGCCGAGGCGGGTGGATCCCGAGGTCAAGAGATAGAGGCCATCCTGGCGACAGAGTGAGACTCTGTCTCAAAAAAAAAAAAAAAAAAAAAAAATGGAGGATGTTTATCAGACTTTACAGGAATGAGATTGTCAGTATCCACTTAGCTTAGCTGGAGTCCATATTGTCAGTTCTTGGCTTCATATAACTCAGTGGCCTTATGGTGTTGGAAATGGGTAGGTGCACCCTGTTTCTTCAGATATATTGATATTGCCCTAGATGGTGGAAATTTATACCAAAGCAGTTAAATTAGTTTACATTTGGCTGGGCACAGTGGCTCACGTCTGTAACCTCAGCACTTTGGGAGGCCTTTTTAAACTTACTACTTTTTAATGATCCAACCCCAGGTGGGTGGATCACCTGAGGTCAGGAGTTCTAGACCAGCCTGACCAACATGGTGAAACCCTGTCTCTACTAAAAATATAAAAATTAACTGGGCATGGTGGCACATGCCTGTAATCCCAGCTACTTGGGAGGCTGAGGTAGGAGGATCACTTGAGCCTGGGAGGCGGAGGTTTCAGTGAGCCGAGATTGTGCCATTGCACTCCAGCCTGGGTGACAGAGTGAGACTGTCTCAAAAACAAAAAGGTTTACATTTACATGTGTTATTTATTACCTAAACTGTTTTCAAATAAGATATGCCATGGAATTCATGTGTATAATTTTGTTTTTAATTTTTGTGGGTAAGACAGTTTTTTATCTTTGTTTGCCCAGTCTTCTATTATCTTGCTTTTTGATAGAAAGTCATTAATAGAATGAACAGCTCTTTTTGGCTTGTAGAGGTGACTTAAGCTGTTTTTTTTCCTTCCACGCTTCAACAAAGGCAGTTGACCCTGCAGGGAACTGAGCACTGGATTTAAAGCTATATGATGAAACCCCAGATAAACCTGATTGTTTCACCACCTCCAGCTTTTAGGAGAATGGGGAAAAAGTTATGCCAGTAAGTTACATCAGGTTTAATTAAAAAGTAATTTCCAGGCTGGGCGCAGTGGCTCACTCCTGTAGTCCCAGGATTTTGGGAGGCTGAGGCATTCAAGACCAGACTGGGTAACATAGCAAGACCCCGTCTTTAAAATAAATAAACCCCTGTAATTTCCAGGATGTGGTCTGTGGTTGGTGTACTTCCAGGTCAATCTCCAGCACTCTTTGTGCCTTTGTACAGTGGTCACTGGCGACCCCAGTGACCCTTTGGCACCTCTTGTTCCTCAGAGGAGTACGAAATGTGTTAGTACACTCTGTCGCTCAAGGAAGAAAGGTATACTAAGTTTTAAAATAATTTTCGTAACAAAAGTTGGAATCAAAGCAGTTTCTTGTTAACTTTCATTTAAGCAAAATTAAATTAGAACAGTTACCTTCCTTGGCATTTGATTTCATTGTGAATTCATTGTCGTTGAACAGTCAATCTCGAGGAGACAGTTTTCAAAAGGGAAGAATCCTGGACACCTGGACACTTGAGGGTTGTGTTGGGATATGACTATGTCCAGATGTTGTAGAGTTATTGGTGAAGTAGCAGAAGAGTCCTGAATGTATATAAATTCAGAGTTTCTCAATTTTAGTGGAGTACGGAGGTTGAGATTTTAATTTGTGATCCTTTTTTGTTGTTGTTGTTGAGATGGAGTCTCGAGTCTCACTCTGTCGCCCAGGCTGGAGTGCAGTGGTGCAGTCTCGGCTCACTGCAACCTCCACCTCCTGGGTTCAAGCGATTCTCCTGCCTCAGCCTCCTGAGTAGCTGGGATTACAGGTGCGTGCCACTACGCCTAGCTAATTTTTGTATTTTTTTGTAGAGATGGGGTTTCACCATGTTGGCCAGGCTGGTCTTGAACTCCTGACCTTGTGATCTGCCCTTCTCGACCTCCCAAAGTGCTGGGATTACAGGAGTGAGCCACTGTACCCGGCCTTAATTTGTAATCTTAACTAACATATTTATGAAGAGAGGGGTGTGGCTGGCAGACTCTAGAGCATAGACATTTTTCATATTGCAATAGGGTTAGTTTTCATACTTTTGATTTGCATAGTCTTGTTTTTACTGTGATTGGTGGAAATATGTTATAAATCTCAAAAACTTTGTAAATATGTACAGCAAGCAGTGTGATTTATGGAAAGATTACTCAGATTCATGAGATCTCTTTGTGTTTGTCTCATTTCTACTAATAACAACCTGAATGATTTTTTTGAACAAATGCCAGAAGGTTAAGGTTCTCCGATCTGTCTAATCTGGAAGTTGATGTTTATGATCTGTTTGGGCTAGATGAGAGAATCTGGGGTTCGCAACTGTGTTGCTTAAACCACAGAATATTGTATCTATTCATGAGTAGCCTACTCAAGTTTCCCCTCTTCATTCATGGTAGTAGCCCAGGAAAAACCAAGTATTTTGCTAGGAGATGGCATTGGAGCTTGGGAAGAGGAAGAGTCACAGTGGTGAGCCCGCAGATGCTAGGAGGCCAGCTTGGGAGGGAAGGGAGAACATGTCCCTGATCCTGACAGGATCCCGCCTTTTTTTGCTGTGGGTTTAGGTCAGATGAGAAATGAATCCTTGACGGTGTACAGCAAGTGAGAAGAGGCGATTATCTCTTCATCTCTTCCCCTGTCTGAGAAGAGGTAGCAGGGCTGTGTGGAGAGAGCAAGGGCCTCTGCTGGGCTCTGGCTAAGGCAATGAGGTGATCCCTTTAGGGGAAAAAAATAAAACTGATTTCAGTAGGAAGGATGCATCTTCTGATTTGAATGAAAATAGGAAATTTTGTTAATAATTTTCTTGGTTTCTGAATACAGCTAGGGGAAATGTCGAATACTCATATTTGATTGCTTTCTCCAATTTGGTAAAAAGAGCAAGAAAACAAGGTGGGTGGTGTTGGGGAGGACCCCTCCTCCCACCCTATCCCCTTTTATAGTGGGTATTAGGGCTGCGGTAAACACCTGTTAAACTCCTGGTTCCCTGGGCATTTGCTGACTGGTCAGATCATTTCACCTTTTCCCTGTGTCTCCTCGGGCATCCATCTCAGAACGTAGTGCTTCGTGGAGTTCAGAGAGGCAGTGCTTCCTTCTTCAGCCTTTCTGGACGCTCTCAGGACCCACTGTAGGAGGAACGCTGGCTGGTTAGCTTCCTTCACTTTTCCAAAACTACCAAATCTTGTGTTTCAGATTTTTTTAAAAGTTAGTCTTTCTGATTAATAATAGATCAAAAATAAATCTTAAACTAAAATGTTTTAATGTTTTATAAGGAAAAAATATTACTAAGAACGTTTAGTTAGCCATATGGAAATATTTAGTCTTAAGTGATTTTACATAAAGTTTCAGTTGATTCTCTGGTTTTAATAGAACAAGTTGAAATCATCGCAGAAGGATAAAGTTCGTCAGTTTATGATCTTCACACAATCTAGTGAAAAAACAGCAGTAAGTTGTCTATCTCAAAATGACTGGAAGTTAGATGTCGCAACAGATAATTTTTTCCAAAATCCTGAACTTTATATACGAGAGAGTGTAAAAGGATCGTTGGACAGGAAGAAGTTAGAACAACTGTACAATAGATACAAAGGTGAGTGCTTGCTTATGACTTGAAATAAATTTTGGACCAGATTTTTCCAAATTATCAGCTCATGAGATATCAAATACTATATATGTAACATAAATTGGGTGTATGTATCCAATAGAGGTCTGTAGATCTTAGAGTTGTTTCAAGAGGTCTGAGGAGAAATTATTTTCTTTTCACTGAGATTTCTTCTTGGCCTTTTTTTCCTCCCCCATTGTCCAAGTTGAGAATGGGGGTGGGCAACTGTTTTTTCTCCCCTCATGTGTATGAAACTCAGCTGAACCAGCCTTTAAGAAAACCTGCATACTAAATCTTTAAAGAATTACAAAGTAATGCATACCTTTTAAAAAGTTCAACTGCTTAATAGGTGAATAAGAAAAGGTTAATAGTTTCTCTGTCTTTTCCTTATTAATTCTCCTAAGTAACTAGTAATAGCCTGGTATGGATTCTTTCATGTCTTTTATGTTTATGCAGAAATATATTTACAGAGTTTCTTTCAAAGGTTTTCTGAAAATGGGATATTTTATGCATAACTTGTGCTCCAAAGTCAAATAATGTGCATATCTTTGTTGCTGGAGATATTGTCAGATTACTTTTAGAAAGATGCTAGCAAATCAGATTTGATAGGAGTGCACAAGAGCTTCTTCCCGTTTGTTTCATTTATTTAAATTTTTTGCCTGTCTGATAAGTAAATACTGATTTTTTTTAAACAACAGTTATTTACATTGTTGAGATTAGGGTTGAATTGCATAGTTTAGTTTATAATTTTTCTGATACTCTTAAGTGGTTGTTGTGGTAAAATGAACTTTGTTCTGAGAAAAAAAAGAATTTCTGTTCCGAACACCCACTTAAGCAAAACATGGCTATATTAGAATCCCATGTGTCTAGATGCGAATGTCTGATTTTCTGACTGTGTATAAGTGTGGGACATATTTCACATGAATAAATGAGACTTTAAAAATCATGTATCCATCTGCAAGTATCTTTTGTCCACTTTAAGAATGCTTTTAAGAGAGGAAAGCGGCTTTAAATAATGGGCAGGGCTATGTTGGAGTAATACTGTTTCATGTCTTCCGTATTTTGTGGTCATTTGAAAAATGGAATGTAAAGCATTACCTTTTTCCGTTTTGGTAATGTAGCATAATATAACACTACTTTAATATCGAGTTATTGTTTTTAAAGATCCTCAAGATGAGAATAAAATTGGAATAGATGGTATACAGCAATTCTGTGATGACCTGGCACTCGATCCAGCCAGCATTAGTGTGTTGATTATTGCATGGAAGTTCAGAGCCGCCACGCAGTGTGAGTTCTCCAAACAGGAGTTCATGGATGGCATGACAGAATTAGGGTGAGTATGTAATTACAATAGGAAAGTAATATGTGACTGTGGAACTGAATTATGATTTTTTATAAAAATGTTTCATAAAATGTAAATTTAAAGATTTACTGGCCAACAAACATTGGTATACATCGAAGTGGATTAACTTGCCTGTTTCCATGTTACATGGTTTTCTGGGCTTGTCAGGTTATTTGTGTAGTTAGTACAGCCTATTCCTTTTGGATATATTCTCCTCATTTACTTCTAAGGCAGGTTCATTAGTATTAAAATTGTGCATAATATTTAACATGGAAAAGTGAAATGACCAAGTTTTAAAGTTATTTCCAGCCTGGCGCGGTGGCTCATGCCTGTAATCCCAGCACTTTGGGAGGCTGAGGTGGGTGGATCACGAGGTGAAGAGATCGAGACCATCCTGATCAACATGGTGAAACCCTGTCTCTACTAAAAATAAAATTACCCGGGCGTGGTGGTGCATGCCTGTAGTCCCATCTACTCGGGGGGCTGAGGCAGGGGAATTGCTTGAAACCGGAAAACGGAAGTTGCAGTGAGCCAGGATTGTGCCACGGCACTCCAGCCTGGCGACAGAGCGAGACTCTGTCTCAAAAATAAATAAAAAAGGGCCGGGCGCGGTGGCTCAAGCCTGTAATCCCAGCACTTTGGGAGGCCGAGGCGGGTGGATCACGAGGTCGAGAGATCGAGACCATCCTGGTCAACAAGGTGAAACCCCGTCTCTACTGAAAATACAAAAAGTTAGCTGGGCATGGTGGTGCGTGCCTGTAATCCCAGCTACTTAGGAGGCTGAGGCAGGAGAATTGCCTGAGCCCAGGAGGCGGAGGTTGCAGTGAGCCGAGATCGCGCCATTGCGCTCCAGCCTGGGTAACAAGAGCGAAACTCCGTCTCAAAAATAAATAAATAAATAAATAAAAAATAAATAAATAAATAAATAACTAATAAAGTTATTTCCTAATGTGACACTGTGAACCCTGCATTTATAAAATCCTAGAATTTAAAAACTGGAAGATACTTTAGAAGTTACCCCTTGTTTCACTTATACTTTGACAGCCAATTAGCTGAATGTCTTTGGAGAAATTGAAAAGTCATGGGTAGAGGTTTTACTGTGACCTCTAGTTGTTCATATTTAATGAGGTTGCAGACAGAAGTAATCAGTCTGTTGGTAGGTAGCGGCCCTTTCTGTTTTTAGTTGGCCACTATTGAGTAATAATAGCTAACATTTATTGAACACTATTTTATTTCAGTTAACTGTGCCAAGTGCTTCACCTGCTTCTTCACAGCAACTTTTTGAGAGTAGTCTTTCTATCCCCCTTTTAGAGATGAAGAAGCTGAGGTACAGAGAAAATATAGAATTAATTAGGTAGTATTAGAGTCATCATTTGAACCTGAGAGACATTGCAATCAGTCAGAGTCCAGCCAAGATGCAAAAACCACACCAATAATTTTAACAGGGAAAACTTAAGAATTGCTTTACTCTGTCAGAGGGATAAAAGGAAACTCCACAACGTAACAGTTATCAGTTGCAGCAAGCTGCTACCACCTCTGGGAGGTGAGGGAAGTGAACAGACAAGAAATTGAGAAGCTAAGGAGATCCCTACAAGGCTGAGATTCAGACCTGGGGGCTGGGGGAGAGGGTTGGCCACCTGTGATGCTGGTGAAAAAACTGCCTAGAGGCTGCTTGCTGTGTGCCGTGAGATTGCTACCACTGGTGGATACTGCTGGGATCTTCCCACACACTAAAACCCTGGCCCTCTGCAGACAACAGACTGGGATGAGAAAAGTTCCTTCTTCCTCTTCCAGCCTAACACTGAGCCAGCTGGCAAGAAAAATGAAGTCTCACAGTTTGTAGTCCAATATCACAAAGTAGGGCAAAGAAGGGCAGGTTTAAAGCTGAGAGGCAGTGAATTAACTGGCCTGGACACTGTGCCCTTCAGCCAAAGCCAGGCCCATCCTGAACTTACTGGGATTTTCTGTGCTAGGACAGGTTTCACCAGAACTTAACAGAAGCAATGGTTTTAAAAATTTGAAACTTAATTCACATAATGTGTAATGAACTTTCAAATCAAAATTTTAATTTACAAACTAATGGTCTGGAAGGTGTTACAAAGAATATAGAAGGAAAATAAAAACAGAAAATGATGAGAAGGAAAAAATTTGGTATAAGAAATAGAGTATTTCTACCATAAGGCTGTATGAGGAAAGTAAGGCTTGGTACTTAGAGCTTTCCAAACTCTTTGAAAGTTGAATGTTTCACACATACAGAAAAAGCTTACTATTAATCTGAGATAATTCACTTGGAGGTGGTAGGAGGTTCACCTATTTACTACTCTACTTTGTATATAATAAGAAGCAGGTTTTCAAAAGGAATGTTTCCTCATAAGCAAGAGACCATGCTGTAGTTAATTTAGATAGTAGACATGATTAATACCATGTTAGTAGTGTCTAACACAGTTTAAAATGATTGTTCTGCTGATTACTATGCATTCTTATTTGTTCTGTGAAGCTGACTTCTGCTAGTGAAAGTGTTGATAGTCTAGTGGATTATGTAGTTAAAACGGATCCTCGTTCTTTTCAGTCGTTGTTTAGAACATTTAATCCCTCCAGATCTATTCTTCCTGCAGCTAACGCCCATGCTTGTTTATATTTATGTCATATGGAAAGATTGAATTCCAACTATTTGATTTTTAAGAAAGAAATTCTAGGAAATAAATGTAAGCCTTCATGGGAATAAATAAGTTACTAATTTATACCGAAAAAGTTAATCTTTTATAAACTTAATTTTATGATGTAGATGTGACAGCATAGAAAAGCTAAAGGCCCAGATACCCAAGATGGAACAAGAACTGAAGGAACCAGCACGATTTAAGGATTTTTACCAGTTTACTTTTAATTTTGCAAAGAATCCAGGACAAAAAGGATTAGGTAAGAATTTTTTAAAATTATATTTGATGTTTCAGATATGTTCAAATACATTGACAGTGTCATTTTTGTAATAGAAAGTTATGTGTTTTGAGCATAAAGTCATGAAAATACCAATTATTGAAAAAATAAGAAAAAGGGAACTTTTAAGCAGAAAATACCATGCACATTGAATAATAAGTGTACCTTTGGTACCGTATGTGAACCACTGATTTTTGTTTTATAAAAACTATAGTCAGTATAGAAGATAGTTGTTAAAATTCCACCGACATTTATTCATTCATTCATTCATTCATTCATTCATTCCATGATCCCAAAAATATTTTAGGATCTTAGCATTTGTAGAAATAGCATTATAAGATTTCTAAGTCATAGAATGCCAGATAAATTTATTCTTTTTTGTTATGATTTGAAAACCATAAGGATGAAGAAGGAAATGCTTATCATTCATAATCTTATTATCCAGAAATAACCACTGTAACAGTTTAGATCAATCCATTTATATTTGTACATTTGCTTTTGGGGATAGTTAAGGGATATGAGAGTAAAAGATTTGGTGTAATTTAGATACAGTGTAATTTGCAAATTACCTGAAAAGATTAGACAGTGCTAGTAGATAATTACAGAATAATAAAACCATGTAGGGGTTTTAGAGAAAAGGAGAAATGAATAAAAGTGGGAGTGGTTGGGAAGTTCTTCCTGGACAGTGTGGGATATGAACTAAAGTATTTGGTATTTGGCTGGACAGGGGAAGATAAAAGATATTCCAGTGAGAAGATAGTTATGAATGAAGGTCTAAAACTTAAGCAATAAGCTTGGCTTTGTGCAAGATAGAAGTTGTTGGTTTGATTTTAATGGGAATGCTTGTTTGGAGATTATAAATTGGTGAGCCACAAGAAGGCTTAATAACCACAGACCTCTTTTGAAATCAGAAAGGGTTTTGTTTTGTTTTTGGAGACCGAAAGGTTTAACGTGGAATTTGTGGGAAATGAGGACCCAGTGAAGATTTTGATGAGGGCAATGACTTCCATTTAATGTGAGCTTTTAGTGTGCCTGGCACCGTGCTAACCACTGTGCTGTACATATACTGCTTGTCTTGTCTGTATGTAAGTCCATTTCATGTTGCTATAACAGAATACCTGAGACTGGGTAACGTATAAAGAGATTAGTTTAGGTCATGGTTCTGCAGGCTAGGAAGTTGAAGGGCATGGCCCTGGCTTCTGCACAATGCTTCTGCTGCATCATAACATGGCAGAGAATGACAAAGGGGAGGTCTGTGAAGAGAGAGACCAAACAGGAGGAGAAGCCACACTCCACAGTAACACACTCCAGGGACTCACCTGCTCCCTCTGGCAGGAAGTCACAGTTGCAGAAGGAGACCAGCACCAAGCCATTTTTGAGGAGTCCATCCCCACGATTGGAACCCGGCCCACCAGGCCCCACCTTACGGCACCACCACAGGGGATGACATTTCAGTATGAGTGTTGGTGGGAACAAACCAGCCATATCCAGACCATAGCACTACCTCATGGGAGTTTTCCCGATTTTTTGAGTTATTCATTCTTTCATTCAGTAATTTACCACCTGCTGTGTGCTGTGCCAAACATACAGTCATACAGCGCTAGCTGAACTCGAAGATGGGGAAACAGGCCCAGGAAGGTTACGTAACTTGCCCAGTAAAAGGCAATGAGGGTTTTTTGGGGTTTCTTGAAGCTAGAGTAGTTGAAAACGCTCACCAGGGCCCTTTTCCACTAATTCCTCTTTATTTTTTAAATTAGAGGGGGGGAAGTGTTGAGAAACAGGTTATGTGAATAGGGATTAGACCAAGGAAGTGATGGAAAGCTGGAGAGGAAGGGATAAATGCATAACGTTTCTAACGCAGTGTGGCCCCATGAGTTACTAAACATGACTGAATTGATTAGAGTCATAAAATGTTTGTAAAGCAAAATTCTCAATAATAAAGCCTCCGGCCGGGCGCGGTGGCTCAAGCCTGTAATCCCAAGCCTGTAATCCCAGCACTTTGGGAGGCCAAGGTGGGTGGATCACGAGGTCAAGAGATCGAGACCATCCTGGTCAACATGGTGAAACCCCGTCTCTACTAAAAATACAAAAAATTAGCTGGGCATGGTGGCCCGTGCCTGTAATCCCAGCTACTCAGGAGGCTGAGGCAGGAGAATTGCCTGAACCCAGGAGGCGGAGGTTGCGGTGAGCCGAGATCGTGCCATTGCACTCCAGCCTGGGTAACGAGTGAAACTCCATCTCAAAAAATAATAATAATAATAAAAAATAATAATAAAGCCTCCTTGCCAGCTCGATTGTTCACTATCGATTGGATTATATTCTTAAAGGAAAAATCCTTGTTTTGCAAGCAAAATAAGCCGGGATACCTACAATTAGTTTCTCTGTCTGGGGCCACCAGTTAGCTGGGATGTTTTTTCTTTTTTTCTCTTTCCTTTCCCCAAATAATCTGTTAAAGTCTTTGAATTTTCATGTATGTATTAAAATAATTATTTTGTCATATTTTGATATGTTTAAATATAATGTGAATGTCAAATGTTGATTGAAAGGGACTTAACCTGTTTCTTAGTTAAATCTCCACCTTTTATTGGAGCATAAAATAAATGCTGTTTTGGGTAAATATGTAGTTATGATACTGAATCTTAGTTTTTATTATATGTGGTAAAAATTGAGCAAAATTAAATTTTTATAGCTATGGGATATATTAATATGGTAAATTGGAATTTTAGATTACAGGAAAAATTGAGAAACCTGAAAGCATTATATTTAAAAATTATGTTTACTGTTATCTAGTAAGTATTGATCTTAAGAAAAAATGTCATATTTAATGGATGTAGAGTTTTTGTTTTGCGGGAAGAGCATTCTGAAGATTGATTGTACAACCGTGTGGATATACTTCACACTGCTGAGCTGCACACTTCAAAAAGGTCAAGATGATAAACTTTGTTATGTGTATTTAACTACAATGAAAATATTATTTAAGACCCCCTGCCACAACCATACAGTGTATAATACAAAGAATAAACTGTAATGTGGAATATGGACTTTAGTTAATAATAATGTGTTCATATTGTTTCATCAATTATAAAAACTCTACCACACTAAAGCAAGATGTTAAAAATAGTAGGAACTGACTGGGGAAGAGAGAGGGAATATGGAAATCTCTACTTTCTGCTCAACTTTTTCATAAACCTAAAACTAAAAAAGTCTATTAATTAAAAAAAGAAAAAGTTTAGTAAGAGACAAATCACACTTTTTGTTTTGTTTTGCTTTGGTGTTAGGTATCAGGAAATGTAATGACTTGCTTATTTGTAGAGTTTAATTAAAAAGAAAACAGTTTTTTTTTTTTTGAGACGGAGTTTCGCCCTTGTTACCCAGGCTGGAGTGCAATGGCGCGATCTCGGCTCACCGCAACCTCCGCCTCCTGGGCTCAGGCAATTCTCCTGCCTCAGCCTCCTGAGTAGCTGGGATTACAGGCACGTGCCACCATGCCCAGCTAATTTTTTGCACTTTTTAGTAGAGACAGGGTTTCACCATGTTGACCAGGATGGTCTCGATCTCTTGACCTCATGATCCACCCGCCTCGGCCTCCCAAAGTGCTGGGATTACAGGCTTGAGCCACCGTGCCCGGCAAAAAAGAAAACAGTTTTTTTAATAGCTTTTCTAAGAGTTCACAGGGCTCTTAAATTACAAGACTTGGCAGAGAGGAATTAGAAGATCATAGGAGAAGAGGTAAGACGCCCAAAACAAACTGGCAGAGACGACAGCGACAGCACTGTGGTTTGTTTATAAACAGCTGTGCTAATTAAAATGAGAACTGGTGTTGTCCATGTTTTTTGTTTCTCTGTTTTGTTTTGTTTTGTTTTGTTTTGTTTTTTGATGCAGGTCTTGCTCTGTTGCTCAGGCTGGAATGCAGTGGTGCGATGATGGCTCACTACAGGCTTGACCTCCTGGGCTCAAGTGATCCTCCTGCCTTAGCCTCCCGAGTAGCTGAAACTATGTAGACAAGCCCCACCATGCCAGGCTAATTATTTTAATTTCTTGTGGAGATGGGGACTTGCTGTATTGCCCAGGCTGGTATTTTTTCACTTTCTATAACCTTATTTCTTAGAGGGTGCTTCCTCTATTGCCATCTGCATTAGTAATCTGACTTAATTAAAAAAAAAATTGGGCCGGGCGCGGTGGCTCAAGCCTGTAATCCCAGCACTTTGGGAGGCCGAGGTGGGTGGATCACGAGGTCGAGAGATCGAGACCATCCTGGTCAACATGGTGAAACCCCGTCTCTACTAAAAGTGCAAAAAATTAGCTGCGCATGGTGGCACGTGCCTATAATCCCAGCTACTCAGGAGGCTGAGGCAGGAGAATTGCCTGAGCCCAGGAGGCGGAGGTTGCGGTGAGCCGAGGTCGCGCCATTGCACTCCAGCCTGGGTAACAAGGGCGAAACTCCGTCTCAAAAAAAAAAAAAAAAATTGTTTTAGATACAGGATCTGGCTCTCTTGCTTAGGCTGGAGTGTAGTGATGTGATCATTGCTCACTGCAGCCTCAGACTCCTAGACTCAAGTGATCTTCCTGCCTTTGCCTCTGGAGTAGCCAGGATTAGAGGCGTGTGCCACCATGCCTGGCTAATTTTTAATTTTTTTGTAGAGATAAGGACTCACTGTGTCATCCAGGCCGGACTCAAACTCCTGGCCTCAAGTGATCACCCTGCCTTGGCCTCCCAAAGTCTTGGGATTACAGGCGTGAGCCACCGCACCCAGCCTGTCATTTCTGATAATTGCCTGAATCTTAAATTTCAAAGGGGTTTTGCAAGTCCTCTATAAAATTTAACCTACCCAAAGTAGTATCCTGACCTGATGCTCATTCAGCTTCTCCCTTTGAGCATGCGGGGACTGGATGTACATTGTTGTGGGAAGTTGCCCGTTCCTATCACGGAGCAGCCTTACTTGTTACGCCACAATTCCTCCTTGCTGCGCCAGCCCTTTGTC